TAGACAATTAGGAAATATCATTCATCTAAAGAGGAAAAGAGGTAAATACCACTGTATTACTCTTCTGTGTGTTAGAGTACTGGTTTCAAGACCATTCACACATAATGGCTGAAAGCTTCTCAGGTTGAAACATTTCAACATGGTCTCTAGTCAGCCCTGGTCCACAGTTCCTTGAGCTCAATAGACAACAACTTTTGAGAATTTCTGACTTGAAATGGTTTCCCCAGTGACCAGTAGCTTGAAGGTGACACCAGCCTCCAGCTGGTTCAGATGTGGATGCACAGGATAGGTAAACTACAACAGGGAACTCAGTGCTCTGGAGACAAGAAATAGGCCAAAAATCACATTCTATACCCTTTGCAGCCACAGGATCTCCATCAATGTCTGGAGGAAATCGTATTTCCTTGAGAGTCCCCAGAATCCAAGTCTGTTCTTTCTATATCGGACGTAGCAAGATGGAAAAATAAAAGTATAGAGCTTAGAACATATTTTTCTAAGCCTACAACTGTCACTGTTTAGTGGCAGAAGCTTTTGGCTAACGCCTGAGGACTCATGGTTCTAAACTCTCACAACTTGCCCTATCAGGGGCGAGCTCAGGAAGGTCCCTGGTGAGCAACCAGCCTGTGTTCTGTGTGCAACAGGACCCACCTCTCCTCCCCTCCCCCAGTGGATGCTCCAACCAGCTTCCTCCACCAGACACTGTGGTCCCACAACATTCTGTGTCCCTTCCTCAGAGCCCGTGGGATGACACAGAGCTCATGTGCACAGATGTTTCTGGCTCCTGGGAAAAAGGAAATGAAGTAAACACCTGTCTGACCCATTCATGGGCCAGCTGAGGAGAATTCTTTATTTTGAACCAATGAGACAGAAATAGGACACAGGAGAAGGGTGCATTCGCTGAGAAGCAATGACTGGCAGGCCCACTCTAGTTTTAAACAGAGGAAGCCTTTGCCAAATAGAACAAAATATCAGCAAGGGCAGGGTAGGAGATAATCCTATCCTGTGGCCTTGTTGAGTTTGGTATTGTTTTTGAGGTGCCATGAGGGGCCATGACACCAGCAACACGGGCCAGCAGTCTTGTATTATCAAGAGAGCACGGTGCTGGAGAAAATCCTTGACAGGTCTGTTGTCTAGCACCACCCTAGTTGAGCAGCATGGCCAAAACACTGGCTGCACAAAGCAGCACATGCCTTCCCCTCAAAGCACACAACCTGGCCACACAACTGACCTTTCATTTCAAGGGTTCATTCAACAAGATTAATTGGCATTTATAAAATTCCTTTCAAAAGCATGAGGCCATGTCAATATTTTAAAAAATATTTCCCCCCATTCCCCAAGGTCATCATTCTGGCTGTGGTTATTCTCCAGCCAATTTATCTTCCTGCTGTTGCTATAGATAAAGCTATTTTTAGTGCACAACTGGTTTGAAGGCAGATTTTTTTTTTTAATTTCACAACTTTGCTGGTTGGCATCCCTAAATGCCTCTCAGAGCTTTGTTTATCAGCTGACAGAAATTATTCTCTCCACCTTTTATTTTCCCCTCGAGAGATGGTTTCAGATAAGAAAGAAGCACAAATTGCAGGTGGCAGCCATAGAACAAAGGATAACCGGCTGGCCACCTAGTCCTTGGCTGCTGATTCAGAGAAGTTCCTGCTCAGTGTCAGCTGTCACCACCACTTCTGGTTCGCTTGAATGCCTGGACCTACATAGTTTGGTTTCCCTTGCAGTCTCTAACTTGATAAGCTCTTTGGATGAAATAGAAATACAGTTATTGGTTTTTTTGTTTTTTGTTTTTTTTTGAGTTGGAGTCTCACTCTGTCACCCAGACTGGAGTGCAGTGGCCGCTCCCGGCCACCGCAGCCTCGACATGCCGGGCTCCAGCGATCCTTCCTCCTCAGCCTTCCGAGTAGCTGGAACTACAGGCGCGCGCTACCACATCCAGCTAGTTTTTGATTTATTGTAGAGATGAGGTCTCGCTGCCCAGGCGGGTCTCGAACCCGCAGGCTCAGGCAATCCACTCACCTCAGCCTCCCAAAGGCGCTGGATTACAGGCTGAGCCACCAAGCCCGGCAGAAATACAGTTTTAATGCTAGCATGTTACTATTCAAGACTATCACTTATCCACCATCAGAGAAGAATGACACAGATCAATACAGTCTTTACTGAAAAACTTTCAACTTCAGGAACACTTTTAATGATGACATGTTTGACCTACAATTTTGTTTCTAAGACATCCTGTTGTTTTCCTTAAAAATAAGTATTTTGGTCTCAAAACAGGTCCAACATGCCATCATCACACAATAGTCATGTGTCACTTAACAATGGGGATACATTCTGAGAAATGCATAATTAGGCAATTTTGTCACAGTGTGGTCCAACGTGCCATCATCACACAATAGTCATGTGTCACTTAACAATGGGGATACATTCTGAGAAATGCATAATTAGGCAATTTTGTCACTGTGTGAACATCATAGAGTATACACACAAGCCTAGACGGCATAGCCTACTATACACCTAGGCTATATGGTATGGCCTATTGCTCCAATTACCATCATTTATGCCAACTGTTGTTGAGCAGAATGTCATTATGCAGCACATGACCACATATGCCAAGTACTCCATTTAAATGAGTCTTTCCTCCTTTCAATAGCCCAATAATGCCAATTTCCCTAGTTAATTCTACTCTTTCTGCAAAACTAAACTCAGACATCACCTGCAATGAGAAGTCTTCCTCAGATGCCTCAGGAAGAACCCTTTTCCTAACTCTCGCAGAGAACTTTGTAAACCCCCCTCCTTCCAGCCCCATTACAACCATTAATATAATCACTTTGTACGACAGTAGTTTGGGGCAATGCCTGCTTCCAGAGGTAGAGTGGGCCCCAATGCCCAGTCCTGCGCCTCACAGAAGGAGATCTATGTATGATTAAAAAATCAATTAACCAACAAATCACAGCTTCCCACCACATGCTCCCCACTAAGCACACACATGAATAGCACCTGCAACATTTGCAAATCATGAGCAGAGTTGGAAACCATAACAATGGGGAGAACCCTGGAACCTTTACATATCTTCCTTCTAGAACAAGTGCCAGTGTACCCAGGACAGCCCTACTTGGCTTGATTCAGAGCCCTGAGTCCTCCAGTCCTATTTATGCTGTCTTATTCAAAAGGCAAGGCCTTTTTAATAGTGTATCACAATGTGCCAGACACCAAAGCACTTATAACTAAGGAAATACTCCAAAGTAAATATTGAGAAAAAATCTTCAGAAATGTTATCTGGTATACTAGCCACATTTGATTCCACCCACAATATCCTGCTAGCATACCCCAACTAGTCTCCATCTCTGGAGGGGAACTTGGAGAATTTCATGCAATCATGTAATCTGGTCAAATGGGTGACCCTGTATGGGCTTAGAGTTAGCTTTTCAATGATTTCATCCTTTCTCAATTGCAGTTATGCTCCAATTGAGAGAGATTTCCATTAAAAAAAGGCAAATACCCATCTTGGAGTAAAACTGGGAATGTGGTTAGAAACCTGCTTGGACCTAATGCGGATCTTGCTCTCTGAAGCTTATGATCAGACAAATAGAGTTCACCCTTAAGTGTCTGGTGTGTATGTGTGCGTGTGCATGTGTGCACATACACACACACACACACAAACTCCCAGAACCATCACTTAACCCACACCCAAGAGGCACACAACATCCTTCTTCCAGAGCTCAAGAAAGACTGTTTATGAGGTAACCGACATCATTTGCTTGAGATAGGTACAAGCAAACAAGCATGTCCAAACGCCAGCAAACAGACAGAAGTACCAAAGGGGATTTTGATTTGGACTTGGGAAACATAATTACAGAAGTCTCAATCACAATAAGAGGTCCCAAATGATAAATATTGAATATCATGATAAATGGAAGAACTAGAAAGCCACAAACCAAGCCCCTAGCAAGTGCGCTCTGAGGAGCAGATCCTGGAAAACACACAGAATGTGAGAGATGCAACCAGCATGTGCCTAGCATTTCTTTCACAGAGCATCTGAAGAGGTGGGAAAAGGTAAAACAAAGACAGAAGAGAAAGAGCACTTCCAAAGGGAATCTTCCCTGGAGATGGTACTCAGGACTTTTAGAGATACCACTGCTGCCGCTTTAATATTTAGATCAGAAAGAAGAAAGTGGCTTGTATTTACCTGAGCAGAGTCCCACACAACCGGACACCTGGGTGGACAGCAGCTAACCTCCGTTTGCAAAGTGGTAGCCACCTTGTCTAAACCCAGTTCAGCATCAATGGCATTCTATCACCAGTGGACAAAAGTAAACTCGTATTTCTTTTGATCAATGAAAAAAGGAAAGTTTGTGTTTTAAATACATTCATTACTTTTAAGTCTCAAGGTAGGGACACAACAGAAATGTCTTCCTTGTTTTTTTTTGGTTTTTTTTTTGAGTCAGAGTCTCACTCAGTCCCCCAGGCTGGAGTGCAGGGGCACCACCGCAGCCTCGATCTGCTGGGCTCAGGTGATCCTTCCGTCTCAGCCTTCCAAGTAGCTGGAACTACAGGCGCGCACCACCACGCCCGGCTAATTTTTTGATTTATTGTAGAGATGAGAGCTCACCAAGTTGCCCAGTCTGATTTCGAACCCGTGGGCTCAGGCAATCCTCTCACCTCGGCCTCCCGAAGTGCTGGGATTATAGGCGTGACCCACCGCGCCCGGCCTTCCTTGCTTTTTAAACTGGCGTCACCAATAAACTTGGCTTGACAGAGGAGGCGGGAAGGAGAGGAAATCCCTGGGAATTCCACAAAGTCCCCTAAACCCTCTCCTTCCAGCCGGCGGGGGGAGAGAGAGCTGCGCTCCGAGCTGGAGCAGGCCCGGAAAGTTGAGCCTCGGGTGTGGCGTCGGGGCCAGGGGCTGGCTCCCGCGCGTCCCCAACCCGAGACCCTCGTGAGGGGTCGGCCGGAACAGGCAGACTGGACGGCGGTGGCGCCCGCTCCCAGCTACTCACCCGCCTGCTGGGCGCCCCGGGCGTCCCGGCGGTGCCGCCCGAGAGCAGGGTGACCGTGGACGTGGAGCGCAGCATATCGCAGCGGCGGTCAGGAGCAAGCTGGCCGCGGACGCCGCTCGGGGCCGAATAAGCGTGCGGTGCCCGCCCT